GCGGCACGGATGGTGATCACGGTAATCCTAGCGCTAACTAATTTTAACCCTGTTGCAACAGAACTTTTGCCGTGGCCTCCTCTTGTGCGAGGAGTAACATAAGGTGTTGGCAGTGCGGTTACATGAGTAGTTGTGGGGTAAGGGTTTTTAATGTGAAGACAACAACAACAACAACAACAACAACAACAACAGCAACCAAGAGATTGCTGTGTTTATGCTGATGCCGTGATGTCATTCGGAAGTGATAGTAAAGAGACCATCTTCATTCTAAGCTAAATCGTGCTTGGCACAGATTCGAGAGCTATATTATAGATTGATGGTGGTACTACTGTAGAGGTTGCGTTAAGGGTGGAACACCTTACATCGGGTTTAACTCTACGGTCGTTTCCACGCCACCACGCCTACTGTTGGTCGCCTTGTCGGTCGCCTTGTCGGTCGAATTGTCGGTCGCCTTGTCGGTCGAATTGTTTAGCGCTCGTGTACGAGACTGATTGGCTGGCGCGTGCGACACTTGTCTCGTATGACGACCTTGAGGCGCGTGAGATGTCAGGGTGGCGTGCCGCTGGTGGTATTGATCGGTGGTGAGCGTGTCATGTTTGCCGTTACGCTACGATTAACCCAGCACTCTGCCTACCGGTGGTACTGGCGTATTGACGGTAGTTGTGTTGCTGCTGTTGCTGCTGCTGCTGCTGCTGCTGCTGCTGCTGTACTTTCTTGTGCCAATGGCGTCTGTGTTGGTCCGTACGTGTATGTTCATGTCTTTCCCCACGCTGGTTGCTGCCAACTGGTTTTGGCATGTGTGGTGGGTCGTTGTTGCTCTCATGTATCCCGGGGAGCATCGAGGTCTCACCAAGGCATGCCCCTTTCGCATGCGGGGAAACCATCGTGGCCCCAAGTATGTTGTGGGGGATTTACATCGAGACTTCCCCCCCCCCAGCTGCCTTGGTTGTTTGAACGCCGACCACTTTTGCCCCACTACCTAACAATTTGTCACAGATGCACCTGTATGTGGCCGGCTGTGGTGTTTCGTTGTTTATTTTTGTCAGTTCGAGTCAGTCGCAACCTGACGGAATTTGTTCGTGGTTGTGCTTGTGAAGATAACCCCGACGCGCTACGTACGACGGCGCTGTCTTTTTTTGTTTTACCGGGGTGCACCTAACGCTGTTGGACAGGAGTATACTCCACGATACGATAGAGGTTGCGCCCGTTGTGATGGTTGTGCTGTACACGTTATGCGTTCGTTGTATGTTGTGCTATAATAGCACCCTTGTTCATGCTCTTGTGACGTCGTCCTTCTTAGAGATGTACCATGTGTTGTGCGAGGACTCCCTTCCTTGTCCTTGCGTCCTGTGATGTTTTGTTTCCACCATGTATTGTGTGTGGGTCTTTTTCGGCATGTATGCGTGGGATTGTCGGTCGGTCGGTGCGGTGTGGCGGGACCTTGTGTCGGATCGGTTTTATTTGAACAGATTATTGTGTACCGGGTGTCCCCGAGTTTGGTGTGTGTCGTGTCATGTGGGTCGGTCTTACCTTCGTACCCCGAGAGAGTGGAGATTGTACTACATCCCCCCACTTCGTGGCTTAATGGTTGGGAACGGTGGGAAGAACTGTTTCATTATCAATAATTGTAATTTCTGTCTGGGTTGCGTTTGGGGAGGAGAACAACATCCAGGAATTGATGCTACTAGCTCAGGCGAAGTGGCCAAGTTTTCAGCGATACTTGAGGCAACGGCCTAAGTCAATGATGAACGAGAGACAGAAGGCGTGTAACCAAGAACCAAGAACCAAGTTGTTTTTTTCTAGAAAGATACCCTCGAGGTGAACTGCAGCAAACTAATTTGACCTAAAAACTAATAAATGCGAAACTTCGTTCCAGACCCAGGCTGGACACTGGAGGCGTTTGTTTTCCTGAGACGCCGGATACTCTTGGCCAGAGTATGAGTTAGACCCTGGAACATTCTGCAGGATGTGGGTGACGAGTGATGAAACGAAACGGAGAAAAAATTGATTGGATGATGGATAGCAGCGCTGGCGAGGGGAGTCACCCTCCTCGGAAGTGAAAGTGTCGGGGCATGCGAACCCCACGAACGACAATACCTTTTGTTGAAGCCGAAATCAAACCTTTGACTTGTCAGCGCTGCCTACTCTTTCTAATGGTTCGATTGACTTCGGCTTCTAAAACCTTCGTTTCTGCGGCACATGGTCAAACGTTGAAACACGGCGCTGCCCGGTCAAACTCCGAGCACGACTGCACAGTACCACAACAGTGTAAGTAAGTTACGCTTGGTGCCCCCCCGCATAGCATAGCACACAAGACACGACATGGATGTTGCGTCCAGGCTATTGTAGTATCTTGTTTCATTGCCGCCCTGGGACTCCGTAGACCTTAGAGCCTCAAGAATGTGTTGTGTGCCTGTTCGGCCCACCACCGAGAACCAACCAAACAGAACCGAAGATCAAACGAGGTGACTGGGCTTGTTCCCATAACCATATCGTCGACAGCACGGTCGAGAAAAGGACGACTCGCCCATCAAATGGTAAGAAGACACGACCTCGCAAATTTTGCTTGCTGTTCGTTTCCTTGGCTGGACACACGAGGATAGGATAGGGCATTCAGATTTGATAAGGGTAACCAGACCACCCCTCTTGGCAGAAAAGCATTGCCATTTCTTCAGAAAAAAAAAAAGTCCGGAGTAGGCTGGTGTTTGCATCGCAACACGCTCTTCAGCCGCAACCTCTTGGTCTGTCATGACAAGGACTTCAAAAAACAGCTCACAACTCTAGACCAAGCCCGCGATGCTTCGTGGCAAACTAACCTACAGCGACCCTTGTGCATAAAACATGTAGAAAATCCGCAGCAAACCGCCAATTCCCAGACCATAAAAACAACCAAAACATAGCAGTTGTAGCAGATGGAGGAAATATACTCGCCATCGATCGTTCCTTGCTAGACAATCGAGCACCGCCGCCACCGAAGAATTAAGCAGACTAACCCTGGACTCTTTACCCATGAGAGGGATAATATTTCCAGGAATCTTCGTCGCTTCAACACAAAAAAGAAGTAAATTACATGACGTGGCTCCTGCGTAGCCGGCTTTTGTTGCATGGACGAAAAACAAAAATACAGCACAAAGTCTATATAGTCTACTCTGAAAAAAAAAACTACACCGATGCTTGCATCGCGGACCCCCTGCTGGCTAGGAGGGTGGCCGCAAGGACAGCAGCGAAGGCGGGGAAGAAGTCGTCCAAGCTGCCTCCGTAAGACTCTCGGGCTTGGCGCAAGAAGGAGTTGTAGGCCAGCACCCCGGACGCGACCATGAAGCAGGCGGGGAAGGACCCCTGCTGCAGCTGTTTCGCCGCGAAAAAAAAATACGCCCCAAGCAAGAAGAATTTAGATGCGACGGGAAAGCGAGAAACGGTCCCGATAAAAGACAAGTTAGGAACAAGATCATTCAAGGGAGTTACTTAAAACGGGTGCATGAATCGATAAGCGAGTTGTCCTGTGCGAGCGGGCTTTGTACCCAACCCAATTTCTCGACCATCTGGACGCCCCCCTGGTGTGGCTACATCCCCTCTTCCGCTACATCCACGGACATGACGATCTATACCACCATCAACAGCAACTTGAAAGAAATCACCAACCATAACCACAGCAATAGCAACAGCAGCAATAACGAAAACAACAACGACGGCGACAGGTTCCGACAACACTGCGGGACAACCAGGTCAGAAAAATAACATGTAAAATAAAAGAGGAAGACACAACGGAATCGAAGTAGCGAAAACGATCTTCCTACTACGGTAGAAAGAAGTCCGACGCAAGAAAGCACGAGACAAAAAAAATACCCCCCAGCTTGCCGACAGCATGTCCAACAACTTCAACAACAGTCCGTCGCAAAAAATGTGCGACGAGATGAAACGATCACTCACGTTGCGAGGCCAGACGCCCGGTCCGTTCACCAGTGCCAGAACCAGCACCACGACGACGAGTACGCCGAGAGCCACGTGCCTGTGGCAGAGAACGGGATTAGTCCAGAGGAAGCAGCGAACAAATCACACGGGCTGTCTGTCCTCTTGCCTTTGTTGCTGTTGGTGTCGTGGTGGTGGGCGTTTCGTTGTTGCTGAGAAAAACGCCATCCCAATCGCAATGGTGAAGCGACGGCGGTGCAGCTCCGGTATGTCAACACTCTTGCACACAACCGCCAAAAAGGCCCGTTAGTTGACAAAATAAATGCTACGGTACATCTGAAAACAACGGGCGTGAGTTTATGTTGCCCGTGTGGTGCTGACGATAGACGTCGTTCATGTTCTTATTATTGGATTTATGCATCAGAGTACCACGTGGTGCACACACAACGCGTTCCTCGTGGTGTGATTGGCTCTCTCTCTCGCGTGGTGTGATTGGCTCACTCACATTTGCTCGGTGACGACGTCCTTGCCCTTCTCCAGGTATAGCATCTTGCCGCCTACCTCTATCCCCGCGGCAGCCTTCTTAGCAGCCTCTTTCGCGGCCTTCTTTAGCTGCGCCTGAAGAGCAGCGATACCCACACACCACGGTGCAGGCGGTGACGGCGGTTGTAGCAAATACCATAGGCAAATGGTCTGTTGTCTTAGTACAGTATGGGGGATGACGGGTATATGGCTGGCGCAACCTTTTGGCGCCGACAGCAAAATCATGGCGCTGAATGCTTTGAACACGACGGGCGGCCGCGATACAATAGGGCGCGTGAATCGGCCTGACACATACGCAGCCTAGCTGTCTACATGTAGAGAGGCCACGACTGACTTTGTTGTTGCTTGTCGTCGTCGACGACGACGTTGTTGTTTTGAACTCATGTCTTGTGTCCAGCGCACCACCTCATCTGTGTCCTAAGATTAGGGTGAGTTCGGTGTAGATGGTAGAGTCGACAGCAACATCAGAGGTAGCATCGATACCCTCAGCCTCAACGGCAACAGCCGTGACAGCACCGCCAATCACAGGAGCATCCAAGACGACAACAGCAACAGCAACAACAACCACAGCAACAACAACAACAACAACAACAACAACAACAACAACAACAACAACAACAACAACAACAACAACAACAACAACAACAACAACAACAACAAACAACAACAACAACAACAACAACAACAACAACAACAACAGCAACAACAACAACAACAGCAACAGCAACAGCAACAGCAACAGCAACAGTAACAGTAACAACAACAGTGACGACGACGCGTGACGCACCTTGGTGAGGTTCTGCGGCTGTTCCACCTCGTCGGCGACGAGCCAAGAAATGGTGAGAGCAGCAAGCGCCACCACCGGAGCGATGACAGACAAGCCCAGCTCGCCTCCCGATGCCGCCAGCTACAGTACACGTGACGTCACACCATGTCATACCATGTCATACCATGTCATGTCGCACACACGTGAAACGGGTGGGGAAGGCGCTGCGGTTGAAGAGATACGTTTTTGAGAGAGAGCACTTGAGGAATTCAAGAGGGACCACTTACGAGAAAGAAATTGAGGGATGAAAGAGACCGTTTACACCACAAAGCGTCAAGGACATGCAAGAGAGACTGGCTGCTTGGGAGGCTATTGAGGAATCGAAGAAGGTAAAGCCGCATGTCCCGGTCATGAGAGACAGCATGCAAAGCAATAGAAGTTACAAGAGATGGCCACGTTCGTAAGAGAGTTTTCGCTGACTTGACACGACCCTCCCTTCAACCGTATCCGCGACTGCAACACACATGAGCACTGTACTGCACTGCTGTTCCTGTAGTGGGAAGGTGGTGCTATAATCTTCATGACAAGAAATTTCCATTGTTGCGACAACAGCAGCAGTGCCTCAAATGGTCACCAGGAGAGTAGCGAAAAAAATGTGTGGTTAGGGCCAAGCCTCGCGTGACTCAGAGTCGTGCCAGCCGCAGCGGGTTGGCGAGCGCGGCAGCGCGGCGCAGTCTACAGACGGCCGGGAAAGCACCCTCGCACGCCGCCACGACTTGCGGCAGCAGCATACGATTTTCACCACTGGCAGCATCGACCCGCAAGTCATTATGAATAGGAGTACAACGTAAATAGGCGTGCATGCACTAGTACACGCGAGTACAGCAGCCAACGTAAGACTATAGAGTGTGTCCCGGGTGAGGTACACCTGGGTGAGCGCTCGGGCAATGTTCGCCTCCCGTTTCATGTCAAACAAACAACAAACCAGATGTGATGCGCATGGCATGTCCCCATAACCGGGGCCCTGGGAACGTGGGTAGGTCCTCGGTGTATAGGGAAGATGGAAGAAGGAAGATGGAAGAAGGACGCAAGGACATCCAGTTTATGTCCCACCTAAATATGCAAATGAGATGGGATGCCCAAGAGAAGCCCAACGCAACCCTGGCAGAACACGAAAACAACAAAGGTGCCCCAATCAAAAGCCAACACAACACTCGCAAAACACCAAGAAAAAAAACACAAGTAGTACAAGGATAAATAGAGTGTACCTGCCCGCGGTAGGCCACCCAGGAGCAAGCCACCACTGCCAGCACAGCAGGAGCCCAGGCCGTCAGTCCCCCGGGGTAGCCCATCATGTCGAGCAACCTTGAGAAACGCGGAGAATTAATTGGTGGGTGGCAAGAAGCAGCGACAGAGGGGGGCGTCAGGTGTCACGAGCGCATTGACACACCGATAAAATGCTACTAATCGGCGGTTGCGGCGGCGGCGGCGGCGGGGGGG